TACTAATGTGCCATGGTGAAGTTCCATCCACGGGGTATATACAAGAGAAGCTTTAAAAGCTAGATATCGACAAAAGCACAGAACCAGATGGAATTGGAAACCCGGTACTATGAGAATGTGCCTTTGCATTGACTACGCCTCTAGCAAAGCACTTTTTTTCAGGCCTGTCGCCAGCCCAGAGCATCGGGGAGGGGGGGGGGGCACAGTACCAATTTGGGGGGCCGACTACAATCAAAATACAAAAATACATATGTATGGCTTTTGCCGTTTGGGGGCCAATTGCTCGTTAAGGGGCCCCCCCACCAGGCCCCCCCCCCCCCCCCGGCAATGGGCATGACTTCTGTTATTGTTACTACCTAGGATATTTTCCATGTACTAGGAAAACAGCTAACATAGAACTTGTTCATAAGAAAAATGCACGAAATGACCCAAGCAAATACCGACCCATCAATTTCCTGAGTAATATGTGATGTGTTCTGCAAAATGAGACACACCTAGGCAGAGGTCAAAATGAGAGTTTGTGGGTATCGGGAAAGATATTAAAATTCTGTTTAAGATGCTGTTTGTTGCACTTTAATGGGACATTTTGTTGACAAGTTATGGATATTTAAAGTTCGCATTTATCGACATGTCAAAAAAAGTAAAATACTGAGAAAAAGACCTTCAAAGTTTTTACTGTTTTGTAGTCATGAATATAAAAGATGCCTTATGTCTTTCCTTCCTTCAGCACCCAAGGGCTCCATTCGTAGTCAAACATTGTTTTTGGTGCATACATCGGTGATATGTGTGATGGCCTTAAGAATAACATTTATTCTTTATGCAGATGACAGCACTATTGTACTTGTACCGCATCATTGAGGATGGAGAAGCTCCTCAGTCTGCTGCCTCTCTGAATGCTGATCTCTCCAAAATCTACCATTATGGATCAAAATGGCAGATACTTTTTGCTTTGGAAAAGTGTCAGGTAATAATCATAGGCAAGGTGAAATCAACTCAACATTCCAACCACATTTTTGATGGTGTGAAACATGAAGAGGTAGACGAGCTTAACATTCTGGGATTTATACATGTAGTTCTCCTAACTCAAAGAAAGTGGGACACACTGTGTCACAAGTAGGTCCAATTGAGTTGAGTAGCACACTGTAACTCAACTCAACTTGACCCAACGACTCGACTTGACAGGAGCTGCTTCCTTAAAATGACTCAACAAGGAAACGAAGGAAACCAAGATGTGCGACTAAATTTGCCCTTTGTTAAGTATTTCTTATTTAAACTAATCATGTTTCCACATTATATGAGCACTGCACCATGAGCAGTTTCTCAGCAATTTCTAAGCAGTAGCGACAATGTAATTAGTTTATTCCATTTCACCAGTTCACTAACATTTAACTTTAACAAGTTCAGCTAACTCAGTGTGTATTCAAAATCGTTGTGGAATAAAGTCATGATTAACACAATTCTGAGCTCAAGAAGTTTGTGTATCGACTACTTATTCTTAAACAAAGGTTGTTCATAAAGTTTGGGTTTACAAGACAAATATTCATAAAAAAATGGTTGATGTGTGGGAAAACACAATAAGACTAGGTCTAAAGATGGTGGTCTCCACTGAAAACGGATGAAGAAGGAACAAGAGAAGGTTTTGAATTGGATTCCACTGTGACAGGTTAATTAGGGATACAGCCACTAAGCTTTTACAAAAAAGGAGGAAAGACAGGACACTATTAGCGAGTAAAGATGCTGCACGAAAAGAACTCCAGACAGCAGACCGGAAACAAGAGAATCACTGAATAAGGCAAAAGAGGAAATGAACAAGGCATACCTACTAGCTAATCAAGACTTTATTGAGAAAAGAATTGATGAAATCAAAGGAGAAAGTAATGTAGGAAATATGTATTCATCCTAGAAAGTTATGAGCAATCTAACTGGAAGGAAAGGAGTTAGAGAGGGACAAGTGAAAGGCAGAACTCAACAAGAAAGGCTTGACAAAGTGGTATGATACTTTAAAGACCTTCATGGCAACTCTCCCACAGTATCTAAGGAAGATAACAACATACAGCAAGTATGTGAAGAACTACCAATTTCTACAGATCCCTTTGATATGGAAGAACTTCAGAAGGCAATCAACCAACTCAAAAATGGCAAAAGCTGTGGGGAGGACGGAATACCCACTGCAGTCATTAAACACTGCAATATTCTTTCTTTTTTTGTAATGAAGCATGCAGCGGAAACTGCCAACCAGAAACATGAAATAAGACCAACATCATTCCCATTCCTAAGTCAGGTGACCTAAGCAACCCTGAAAACTATAGAGGCATCAGCCTAACATCCATCATTACCAAGACAGACAATAGAATATTGCTGAATCGCATCCAAGACCATGTCCACTACTTACATACAACCAAAATGGCTTTTGTAAAGAGAGAGGAAGTGTGAGACAAATATTGGCCATACATTGTATGAATGGGAATTCAGGCTCAAAACCTCCTGCAGTACTGGCCGTTGTTGCCTGCCATAAATCTTCCGACAGCATACACAGGGGAAAGATGTGCAAAACCCTTTCAGCCTATGGAATTTCACCTAAGATAGTTGCAGCTATAGAATGCATGTACGAATCCATATATGCCAAAGTTTGAAATCCAAGCTAGAGTATTGCAGGGGATACTCTCGCTCCATTTCTTTCTTTTTTTCTGTTTTAATTGGTTTATTATTATGTCTTTTTTTGCCGCCAGCAGCGGAATTGCAAAGAACATTTACAATGTATTAACATTAAAAAGCATAAACTTTACTTTACAATGGCAGCAAAAGACTAAAATCGTATTAAAAAAAACATAAAATGGACAGGGTATGTGGAAGGTGAACCTGGAAGGGGAGAGGATGAAAGGGGAGGGGTAAGACAAGGAATATGAACACACATAGAACTGCATCATTTCAAGACCAACTATTGGAATATACATGCACAGACATGGAATTCAATTCAATCATTTCAAGACCACAGATAAAAAGATGTACATTACATTACATAAAAAAAAAGATGAGTAGGAATGATATTTAAAGGTTTTTGGGTAAGAAGTTTCTAGGCTTAAAAAATGGACTAAAACAAAAAAGACTAAAGAATGCATTATTGTCTTAAAACATCAAACTCACAATAGGACAAAAATGCTATGTGGGAGGTTAAGGGAGGAGAGGGTGGGCAAGGAGGGATAACACAAATTCCCAGGATTAAAAAGGATTTGTATTCCTATAAAACGTTAGATGTGAATGTCACTAAAAAAAAAGTGATTAATTATGACGAGGCACTTTACAAATTGTTTTTGGAGTTCTATGTCCTAACAAGGTAGGGTACAGGGTTGTTTTTGTACCGCTTTGTTCTGCAATTAGGGATAGAGAGGTGGCTTCTGTTACGTAGTTGGTAATTATGTGATTTGTATCTGTGCTCAGGTAGCTAATTACTAAACTTGTCATCTTTAAGTAGGTTACAGACATATTTGTAACAGATGTCCTCTCTCCTCTTAGCAAGAGTGCAGAGACTGAGATCAGTTAATGATTGTTCATATCCCTTGTACTTGGAACCAAGGATGACTCTGCAGGCTCTTTTCTGGATTTGTTCCAGGGTATCACTCTGTTGCTGGGTCAGTCCAGGTTACCATACCGGGACTGCGTATTCCAGTATTGGTCTGATGTACCCCATGTAGATGGTGAGCAGGTCCTTCTAAGGCAATGCAAAATGTTTTAAAAGTCGGAGCATGTACATGTACATTTGCCAGCTAGCTGTTGAAGTAATGTCTGTCACCCATTCGTTCCATTTGAGATCTGACTGGATGATCAGGCCCAGTATTTTAAGTGAGTGGTATTCTTCTCATTATAGTACAAGATAGCCCGACTGCGTCTGGCCGTACAGTACTATCGCAAGCTCTGTAGTACGGCCAGACGCCCGATGCTTCCACAGAGACTGAATTTTGTTGGCCGCCGATGTAGCGATTTTGCTACATCTTTCGATCGCGATTATCTTTTCATCCAGGACACAAATTTCCAAAGTTAAGGTTCGTAGTCGTAGAGCAACTCATACCTTTTCGAAAAAACGTTCTTTGGTCTGCATATTGCATACATTACAGCGCGGCCGCCATTTTGAAATCGCATGGGGGATCGCATGGGGGACGATATTTGTGGAATCTGATGACTGAAATTCGTCTTGTGGCCAGATGGATGAAAATATTGAGACCAAAGAACGTTTTTTCGAAAAGGTATGAGTTGCTCTACGACTACGATCCTTAACTTTGGAAATTTGTGTCCTGGATGAAAAGATAATCGCGATCGAAAGATGTAGCAAAATCGCTACATCGGCGGCCAACAAAATTCAGTCTCTGTGGAAGCATCGGGCGTCTGGCCGTACTACAGAGCTTGCGATAGTACTGTACGGCCAGACGCAGTCGGGCTAAGTACAAGACTACTGCTTTCGTCAAGCCATCCCTAATGATTCACAAACTTGGATTTCAGACCAAAGAACTTGGCTTTACAATCAAACCAAGGCAATGCCGGAGAATTACTGACCTGGGTTTTGCTGATGACCTGGCACTTCTATCAGATACGATTGAGCAAGCACAAGAGCTTCTACTAGCACTTGAAAATCAATGCCAAGAAGACACAATATATTTTAGCTTCAATCAAAACATCGGTTGCAGCACTTAACATCGTGAATGGTAACACACTCCAACCAGTCAATGATTTCAAATACCTGGGAGCTTGGATAGCAACCACCAAACACGACATTCATGTGAGAAAAGGCCAAGCAGGGCAGGCCATCAACAAGCTACCCAAAATATGGAAATCAAAACTCCCTGATCAAAGAAAGATAAAGTTTTCTAGATATTGGTCGAGCCAATTAGGCTCTATGGCTCTGAAACATGGATCCTCAAAATTCTGTATTTTCAGTTAAGTGACACTCTTCCTTTGTTCACAATTCATTTACATGCAAATAATCCAACCCCCCCCCATCCCCGTACCTTGCTGTACCAGTTGCCATCTGTTTCACATAATCTATCAGGCTTCTGACGGCTGATCTGTGTCAGTAGCTGGGCACAGGATGCAAGGCTGAGGCTTCTTGGCCTACAAGAGTCAGTCCTTGTGTGAGCAAGTAGAGACACCTGAGAAACTCGAGACCCAGCAGCCATTCTCAATGCTGCAGTTGCTTCACTCTCGGTGACTGCTTGACCATCAAGCAGCGATAATGACTTGAGGCGTCCAATGGTGCGTAGTCTAACACCATCAGGCTGACAAAAATCAAAAGAAGAACTTACACATGTAAATTGATCTGTCTGTGAGTGTGATACATACTATACAAACAAACTAAACAAATTTCATGCCTTAGGCCAACAAAAAACGGCTCAGGTTTCTAGTAAGGAGCTGTCCCCAAAAGTGGTGCGGCAACACTTTTTTCCCCCCTAGTTTTTTTTTCTTCAAAAAAGGTGTGCGTGTGCTATGTGACCTTGTTATGAGATGCACAAAAAAGCCACTTTGTAATATTAAATAGACAACTGGGAGCATATAAAAAAGTGAGAAAGTTGGATTAATATGAAAATACACATGTACATGTAGAGGCATCTACTGTTTATTGAGATTAATATTAAATAAACATTGCCAAAATATGATGTGTCTGTTGTATACTCTTTATTTCACAACTCAAAATGGGAAACTCTTTGAGTTGAAATGCCAAGACTGGAAAGCAAACCGGCAGACAGTAGAAGGAATATTACTATGGGGTGAAGAATAAAATATTTTTTCATGTCCAACTGTTTGTTCACCTCATACACCGTAATTGCACTCCACATTATACAATTTAAAGTACAAATATTCCTGGCCAATAATGTGCAAAATGGAACCCATTTTTTAGTTGAAATGACAAGAATGGAAAACCAACGGGCATGCAATAGAAGGAATACTCCTATGGGTTGAGGAAACAAATATTTTTCCATTTCTAACAATTTGTTCACCTTATAGTAGTTTGGATTGTCACGAGAAAAATCAGAGAAAATGGTGATGTCAGACCATCTTTAAACATTCAAAAAATGTTCATGCTTTTCCTGACAAATGAGGGCGCTGTTGCTGTGATGTCATTTCAGGAAGAACTGTGCAGTTTCGGGCTTTTCTGTAAAAATTGTGAACCCAAAATTTGCTCATTGAAAACATTTGCGAGAAAACTTTGCTCATTGGCCTGCTGTCATGTTCCGGGGGAAAAAAAAAAAAAAAATCAACAAAGAAAATAAAATTTAGGTAAGCAAAATATCCAAAATTCTGGCAAATTTTTGTGCTGAATTAGCTGTAACACTGGGGTTTTGTATGAAATGAAATCACACATTTGCTCTTGAAAATGCAAATTCTCATTAGCATAAAAATCAAAAAGGGACCAAAAATCAGGGGGGATCCAGGATTTTCCAAAAGGGGGGGGGCGTGAAATTGTTGAAACCTGTGCGGGAAGTTTTGTTGTGACACACCAACTCGCGAAGCCATGGCGTGGGGTTCGGGGCCTGTAGGCGGGCCCTGAAAATTTTTGAACTTTAGAAGCTTTCTGGTGCATTTTAGAGCAAATCTTGGGGTCTCTGCGGCAGTTGTTTTCCTCAAAATTCAGAGGGGATTCAATTAATCATTTCACATATCAACTTCCTAAACTGGAAAAGTATATGGATTAAAAGTAAGTTTCAAGTTGAGAAATAAGTCGGAAGAACCAAAAAATCTTATTCCTATCACATTCCTATCGCGCCACGACTGTCCATCAAAACTTTTTGATCAAAATTTGCCTTTTACCTAATAATATATGAAAATATATTTAAGGTGCGTTATTCTTTAAAATAATGGAGAATTTAAGTCGTCCACGCCACTATGCTCAAACAATGACAATGTTAGTTACTGTCAGCCGCCAGCCACAGCACTGGCCGTATATTGCGTCGCGCACACGGCACACTATCGGTGTGCATATAACAGCACTGTGTATTGTGTGGGACCCGGAAATGAACCCATGTGCTGTGGCCGAAAAGTTTGCAGAAACACGATACGGTGTATCACGTACGAGCAGAACAATCTTGTTATAAATATTTGTTTTAATGGAAAATACGTACACAGAAAAGAGAGATCATGTTCTGGGCATGCAGTTGAAGAAATTCTCTTTCTCCGTCGATGTTCGTTTGGTATTTTCTATGATCCAAATTCAACGCACGCAATGTATATAATTATGTAGCCCGTAGTCACTGGTTTCAGTCCTACATCATCATAGCTTTCATTCTGTTGGGAACGCGATGGAAACCAGTGAATGGCGATGGCACTGCACTGCCGCATGCCGTACTGAACATCGTACAGCGGCATGGCTTTGATGTCATGAATGTGCATTTTGATGACACGTGCGTCAGAAATACAGGCTTTTTCCGTCATGATTTTTAGCATGTCCAGGTGAAATTAAGAATAGCGTGTGAAACTTTTTTTTTTCTGAAGAAAAAAGGAGGGGGCATGGGCTCCCCACCCCCCCCCCCCCCCCGATCCACCCCTGAAAATTCCCTTAAAAATGGCAAACTGAAATTTGAAAATAAGGTTAAACAGGATGCAAAGGTGCATCTACAAGAACTGCATTGAAAAACTACATTACACGGGCCCTTTAATGAACTACATAAAATTATAAAGCACACGTATCCACCAGGACTGGTGCTCAAGGCACTACATCATTATCACCCCTGCTCATTGGGCCCATGAAACATTTGAAATACCATATAATATATAGAGGGCGCCCCACTGGATGGCAGCCCCTCAAAAATCCTGTTGCACATTTTTTCACCTTTTTGTCAATAACTGATGTTTTGACTGTGTTGTTGATGCCAAATCTACAACACTAAATTCATCACAAAACAAACACACGAATCTTGGATTTTGATATTTTCCAAAATATTTAAAATCAACTCCAGTCTTTGGCAAAGACACTTAAATTTAACTTTAAATGGATCTCTTTGTGTATATCATGGCCCGGCCTTGTTTCAAGTAGACCTGTTTATGCAAAGATTTTCCCTGAAAAAAAAAATGGTTTATTGACCACAAAGTGATTTATTTCAACCAATGAATAATTCAGCCAGAAAAAAATCTCAAATTTCTTGATTTTTTTCAAGAAAATATGATATAATATTTGGCGATCTCACAAGGAAAGAACGAAGACACTATTCTAACAGTACTAGCACGCAATGCACGCTGATACCATTCCTACGAACATGTATACAGCCCACACCATTTGCGGTCAAGGGTGTGCTTCCTTAAAAACAATTTACCAGTAATTCCACCTTTTCAAAATTACAAATAATACTTTTTTTATGGAGTCCGAAACATTTCCTCATTCAGAAAAGGTTCTTCATTGTTACAAACTCACAAAATATTTTTTTTCTGAAGAATTTATTTGAAAAACGATGTTAACTCCCAAAAGAGGGTGACGCACCCCTTTACAAAATTAATGGATCTGTCCATAGAATGAAAATTTAAGTAATGAATTTTTTGAACGAAAGTCATGATCGAACAGTTGGTTTTCAATGTTTTTTGTTGCTGAAAATATGTTTCATAACATTGGCACAGTTTTGGCACAAAGCAAGTGATAAGTGTTCGGGCACATGCTCGAAAGAGACGGAACGAGTCGTCGGAAAAATACGTGCAGGAAAATTTGATCTAGTTCGCTGGAGTCTGCCCGGCGTGGGCGCGCTCCCCAGCTGGCCGCGCCGAAAGCAATATTTCCGATGTTCATTCTCAGCGCCATATTGTAGTGTTTTGTCTGTACAACAAAAAAGAACTTCTCCTTTAACAATTATTTCTTTCAAAATATAAAAATGAGGAATCACAGACATTGGAATGTTTGGAATGTTCAACAGTTCAAATTAGGAAAATCACAGTTCAATTACTTAAACACATACACTTGTGTGTTTTAACTGGCACATGGAATGAACTGAACTTCACAATTTACATGTGGTAATCTTTAACCCAAGTAGGCTGTCTAATTTGTCTCTTAGGACGGTTCTGTGGTTTGGGTTTAGCTGGTTGTCTTTGAGTCGTAGACATTTGGTTTGGCAGTTTATGAGTTATGGGTAAGGTGTGTTGCATTCCATGGTCGACCATCTTCAAGCTGTTAAGTGGATGGGCCCTTGGACTGTGTGATGCATTGTGGAGGTCCATTGCGATTGGAACCCTTATGCACGTCTTGGATTTTTAACACGTATAGTCTCCTGTTTGGAAACACGGATGTACTGCACCACGCTTCTGGTCTGTGTATTGCTTGTACTTTGTCTGAGAACTGCAAACTCGATCACGAATATCGGCTGGTTCTTCTTGGCTGATCTATGTAGGTCAAATGTTCAGAGTAGTTGTCATTCGGCGAGTGTGCTAGAGTTCTGCTGGTGATTTACCTGTAATTGCATGAGCAGTGGATCTGTATGCTATCAGTAACTCAAGCGTTGCAGTTTTCCAAGGTCGGTGTTCGTGAGTTGAGATTTGGAGAGTTTGTTTGAGAATGCAATTAAATTGCTCGACAAGTCCATTTGCCTGCGGATGGTAAAGTGCGGATGTGCTTAATTCCTCGCTGGCTCAAATATGACTCAAACTCAGTGGAGACGAATCAAGCATGGAGCAGACGGAATGTTAAGTGGCATCAACGGCAAACGTGACCTCCGGCCACTTACTGTAGTAGTCAGTGGCGTAGCCAGGAATTTTTCAGTGGGGGGGGGGGGGCACTGGGGGGCGCTGGAACATTTCATGGGGGGGGCGTCAATGAGACACGAGTTAAAAAATTTGGGGGGGGGGACATTTGATATTGTGTCCCCCACCCTTCAAAAGGTGGGGGGGGGGGGACATGTCCCCCTGTCCCCCCCCCCCCCCCCCAGGATTGACGCCCATGGCGTCATGTAGATCAATGATACTTTTATTTAGAAACTCAAAATCTCAGTGGGGGGGGGGGGGGCGACTGGGGGGGCGACAAGGTTTCATGGGGGGGGGGGCGGTCGCCCCCCCCCCCACGCCCCCCCAGTGGCTACGCCACTGGTAGTAGTCCATCAAGACGATTGTAAATCGGTAGGTTTGTGGACCATGCTCAAAGGGACCCCAAATGTCAATGGCAAGATTTTACCATGGATGAGCTGGAAGAGGTACTGGTTGCAATGGTGGAGTGCGAATGCATGCTGTCTTATCACTAACTTAATTAACAAGCTGCACAGTCACTAACTTAATTGACAAGCTGCACAGTGACGAACTTGGTGTTCTATCTGTTTGCCATACCTGGCCACCAATAGCATACACAAAGTCGTTGCTTGGTGCAGACAATTCCTGATGTCCTTGGTGCGCAATTGTAATCAGGCTTGGCTGAAAAGCAGTAGGTATGACAAAACGGTCACCTTGCATAATACAGTCATCAGCAACTGAAAGTTCATCCTGGACGTTGAAGTAGGGTTGTAGTTCAGTTGTAATGTGCTGTTTAGCAGACCAACAGGATGTGATGTATTCTGACACGGACTTAAGGACTGTATCCTTCCTTGTAGCATTTTGGAGTTCAGTTTTTGTGATAGCGGAAGCGTCAACAAGTTGTGCTGAAATCCACTGGACGATCTTTTCATCATCAGTATGTTCAGTTGTGTGCACTGTAGTAGGCAGTGGCAGTCTAGATAGAGCGTCAGTCTATTGTGTGCACCAGCACGAAATTCAACAGTGCAGTTGAAATTCAGCAGTTGAAATCCAGCAGACGAGCAGCCCACCTGGCAATCCGCATTGGTTTGTGGCCAGTGCCACGTGTGGACAGCAATGTAGTTAGAGCTTGATGATCAGTTCAAAGAGTAGACTAACAGCCCCATAAGTGCTTGTACCATTTCTCACATGCCCACACGCATGCAAGTGCTTCCCGTATGCTGACTAAATATTTGCGTTCTGTAGTTGTAAGAGAGTGACATGTGAACGCAATGGGAACTTCGTGATTGTTCTTGATCTGTGCGAGTACCACTCCTATGCCATAAGCAGAAGCATCAGTAGATACGACTGTAGGAAGATCGGGGTCAAACAGCGCAAGTGTAGTAGCATTGGAGATGTGCTGTTTGAGTAACTCGAAGCACGATTGAACATCCTCAGACCAAATGAACTGAGTGTCCTTGCAAAGGAGTGTGCGGAGTGGTTCAACCATGGTTGCATAATTTGGCACAAATCTGGCGTAGTACGACGCAAGTCCCATGAAGGATCGGAGAGTAGATGGATCGGTAGGTTTTGGAGCATTTAGTAGTGCCTCTTAGTGTGTTGGATCTGGAGTAAGACCTTCGGACAAAATAATATGGCCCAGGAAGCAGAGGTTTGACAAACTGAAGTGGCATTTGTCATAGTTCAGCGTGACACCTAGTTCTGTAAGGCGGTTATGCACCCGTCAATTGTAAGACGCACCCTCAGACCCCCTGGGCATGTGCGTCAATGTACACAGTACAGTCAAACTTTGGGGTCCAATGACGCACCTCTGCGTCTTGTTCATGACGAACCATTCACGCATTTTGATGCTATTTATAACGAATTTTTGACGCACCATTTCTGGATGACAACTCACCTTGTGTGGGTACTATGTTTAGTTACCATTGCGGCCGATGGGCACCAGTGGGGCCGGGACGAGCGTCCGAGCGAATGCACCTCCAGCTGAGTTAAGAAGAGGAAACCAGCGACCCAATCATGGCGATGGCCACATGTGCACCGCAAGCGCCAGGGAGAAATTGCGAGTTGTGTCGCGATGCTGAAACTTGATGATCGTTGGAAGCATTTAAGAATGATTTGTTCCCGCTTCTGATTAATATTCTAATCTGAATATAGTAACTCAGAAATCTTGGAGCTAAACAAATATTATGTTTGAAATATTTCGTACACCCAAAAAAAATAGGATGTTAAACCCGGGCCTTATCATGGTCTATGGGTTGGCCATAGGGTTAGGAATGTACATGTAGTATTATAGGCCCACAAAAATGTTCGCTTTGGGGGGGGGGGTGGGAACTGCTATTCAGATCGTGACTTTTCGGGTCAAAATTAGAATATTGTTTAATTTTGAAAACTTGTTTAATTGGCATTAATTAAAATAGAAAATTTTAACATTTTGTGCTCACACTAATGAAATGAATAAATAAATGGCGACAGACGATCGGCCTTGGTAAGTCGGCTAGAGGGTTGTGACGATTGTGAGCCGAGGTGGGTATTTACATGTTATGCACAAATAGTGCATACATGCCATTTCTATTACTTCAGGTTGTTTCCTCCTCGTCATGGAAAATCAAAGATGCGCTTGCACAATTTTGACTGAGTCGGAAATATATTTGACAAACATCAGATTTCAGGACTTTTGTGCTTGATGACAACAATTCTGTCATGGTGCAAACAAATTGCAGGTGTGGACCTGATGGCAGCTTAGTATGGAAAAAAAAACAAAGTTCTTTATAATCAAGAAGAAATGACATTCAAGGAGGCAACATCTGGGAAACAGCAGGCAAATGTTTTCGCAGGCTAAACTGCAGGCTCAAATATTACTGTATAGATGTATTCACTGCATATAATTTTGCAGTGGCATCATGGCAATGTGTAACCAACTATTCACTTGGTTAGAGCTGTAAAATTGGCACAAACTCAAAAGTCTCATTCAGCTGTGATACATACCTTCTGCCAGTTGTTATGTCTCAAGTCAAGGCAAGTCAGACCTGTTGCATGTTTGCGTAAAATTGACAAATCATCCTTCATGTTGGTCAGCTCATTCCAGCTAATATCCAGGTACTTCAATTTACTCATACCCTGAAATTAACACAAATATGGTCCAATCAGTTCCTGGTAAAAAGGGATTATACAAATGAATTTCGATCCTTAATTGGATTTCTGTGTTTATTCACTTTCCACCAGGAATATTTGTTTTGCTGTGTTTTGTCAAAATCAACTATATTGTCTAGATTTCTAATCAACCAAAATGTGTGTGAAAGACAGCGCGTGATTCAGCGCGTGATTCAGCCCGTGAACCAACACGCGAGCGTACTCCATTCGTTTGCGCTACACCTTCTGGTTCTAAATGACGACACACTTCGGTATTTCATTAGCATAATTAACAACCTTTGATTGGTGTCTAAATCATAAAGGGCTTCTTTAAGGTTTACTCCTGGGTGTTAGGTTAGTAAAAATAGAGATTTTATGGCATTCCAATCAGTTCAGTCAATCTACAAAGAAGTCTGGCAAACCTTTTTTTTCTGGTTTATAGGTACAAACGTGATCAAAATGGTTATTTTTCAATGCTATCACATTATTTTGTAATACCATTGTGTTATTTTACATTATCCCCATATTTTTTTCACAATAAGTATTTTGTTTTTACGCAATACTGTGAAAAAACAAAACAATACTTAACGGTATTGCGAAAACAATATTATACAAATATTGACTGCTTCAATTGGTGTAGTAAAACTAGCCTCCCTCGGTGATCCATGAAGCATTCTATTTTTCCTGAGGCGAAGCCGAGGGAAAATAGAATGCTACATGGATCACCGAGGGAGGCTAGTTTTCCTACACCACGAGATGAGGCAGCCCATATTTGTTTTATAACACCTCTCCCACAGATTCTGCTTGATTTTAAGCGATAACTGATTAATTTTTTGAATACAATAAATGTTTGAATCCAGCTCTGTAGCGCTCACGCTTGGAAACAATACGTGCAACGCTCAACACTCACGCCCCTATTCATTTTGCACACAGTGCGTATAGTACTATGGTTGCTACGGGTATATGGGTGCTACGGCTATAGTACTTTGGTTGCTATGGGTATAGTACTTTTGGCCGTGCACTGAAAGATAGCAAAAAATAGAAAGTACCATCTGACTCTTGGCCAATCAAGACACAGAATCTGTGGGTGAGGTGTTATAATGCAAAATAACACGCGACACTATTGCAAAATAACGCAATAGTATTGCAAAATACGAATCTGAGGTTTAAAAAAAAAATTTGTGTTATTTCAAAAGACTATTGCATTACTTCGCAAAATTATTGCATTATTTTGCAAATTTACTGCATTATTTTGCAAAATTACTGCATTATTAATAACTATTGCAGTGTTCTTTGCTTTCATTTTTCATTTTCATTTCATTTCAGATACATTTATTTCATGTGAACATCACTGAAAAATAAAATGTGATAACAATGCTCATCATACACTGCAACTTGTTAACATGTAGGAAAAAGGAGAAGCAATATTAAAACCTGGCACGAACTGGCTTCAGTATTTATTAAAATATTGAGAATCAAAAATATTGCCTTCGTCTTTAAAGAAGTGCTTGATGTTGCATTTTTTGCCGCAGTCCGGGCTTGTAATGCACAATCTCCAGTCAACATGACCGTCTGTTGTATGGTGAAATCATTGTTGCCTGCATAGCCTGCACGTGATTCGATTGCCACGGTGAACCCAGGCGCAATTCAGCCTGAAATTTGGTGAGTGTTACCCAGAAGCACACAGTTATTTCTTGGCACTCATGTGGAAAGTATCTTGTGCGCACAGGACAAAGTCAATTTTTAAATTTGTATTTTGTACCCCCCCCCCAAAAAAAAACCCCCAAAAAGTATTACCTATGACAATTTCAGGCACTTTTCAAAAGACAAATGGGACAAATCTTTAAGAAATTGAGAGAAAATTACAAAACTTTTTGAACCCCTATACTTTTTAAATGGGCCGCGCTTGCTTTTTGTCTTATTGCCGATTTATGCACACGGGTGCATGAATTTGAATTTATTGGGTAACTGTTTCTTTTGTGTATAGCCAGGCATGAATCTGTGGGATACAGACAGAACTGCACGACGTGCATGTATGACATCAACAACACGTGGCCATGCCCATTTTCATGGCACTCCATGCACGCTGAACAGTCCCCCCACATAGAGTGTTGGGTAGTTTTTTTTGGTGACTTTTATGTTTTCCCCAACCACTTTCCTCTTTTTGAGAGTCCAGTTTTTGTGTCGCAAATGAAAGTGGGGCTGAAAATGATTAAGGGTGAAAAAGTGAAGTTAATACATCTATTCTAATTGCCGTTAAAAAAAACATTAAAACTTTTTAAATATTATTTAATTAACTGTTGATATAATTCATTAGTAAAAAAGTTATTTAAATAATATTAATCAATTTGTGTCTGTTTTAATTCAATTTGATTAGACATGCTTGTTGAAAACACTGACAAGATTGCCTCATCCCATAGGTCTCGAGCTTTCTGGTAACGCCGTCAAGATGACGTCATCCAGATTCGGATTACAAGCTACCAAAGATTTCTAGATTCAACCTTTAAAAATAAATGTAAAATCAACAGCCAGCCTCTCTGTGAGCTTAACCCTCCTACTATTTAATAGGTCACATACCGCAGAAATTGTCTTCCTCAGCTCCCGGCATACTGTGTACAAACCAATGGGGGTCTTGACCAATATTAACCCAAGAAATAACAAGACTCACAATGCATGTGTCCATAGGAGTGATCTTGCAATATCTGCAGATTGCAGAGTGCTTCAAATTGTTTACCTTCTGGTCATGGAATTCAGTGTGGTCTTTGAAACCAAACTTTGGGCTGCGGAGTGTGTCGACATGGTTGAAATTGATCGATCAACTCAATTCAATGCGGTATGCACGCGAGCATCATAGCGTATGCGTACAGTGCATTGTACCCAAGTACCGCAAGTGACTTTGATTTACAAGAAATGCGGTGACATGTGGGTACCCGGTACCAGACTATTTGATTTCGTTCCTCGGAATCGATAGCACCGTCTAGCAAAACTTTCGAAAGTAAGTCAGATATGGTCAGATTATAAATTTATGTGTTTTTTTTGTGGTGGTTTTTCCCAACTGAATAGTAAGGTCTCGTTTGCACGAGACCCCACAAGATCTCAAGACTTTTGCTCCGAGATCGAGACCGAGACTGAGTTTTTTTTGTTTGCACGAGACCCCACAAGATCTCAAGACTTTTGCTCCGAGATCGAGACCGAGACTGAGTTTTTTTAGTCGAGACCTTGAAATTGTCGAGACCTAAGAAAATCGGTCTCGAGACCGGTCTCGATACCGAGACCTGCCTCGAAACCTTCATCACTGCTCATTGGCAGTGTTGCGCATGCGTAATTGCGAAAATATGCTATTTTTAGGATCATTATGGGAGTGACCTGTCACATGAGAGGGATTAACCAACAATGGGGAAAAGGGGTCCGATTTTCAAAAGAGTCTGATGTTCATATGACACTGGCACTTTGGGCACTAAAATCAATTGCCTTTATACCTGGCACACACTTAAACACACTTAAACATTGATGTCATCATAACGTTATCATGAGTCACGTGACGTCACATTAAAAGTGCATATTTGAGGCCAATATATCTACAGAACTACAGGTCCAATTGGGTTGAAAGTAGGTAATGTGGCAAAATCTATCCTGACACCATTTGTGGCGGAACGGACTTTGGCAGAAACCCCAGGGGACTGGTCTTATTTATCCCAGGATTCTAGCCAACTCCTATTATCCCACAAAAATATTTATTAACCTCGCACAAGGATGAGCGGTTACCCAGACGCAAGGGGGGACAATTAACGAACGGCGGACTAAGCCTAGGGGCTGTTTGTTTGGTGGAAATATACCACCGTTCTGCGATTGTTTGACTTGCATGTAAACAGAGCACTAATTAATTATAATTACCTGCACAATGATCCAAATAATTATCACAGAGACAAATGTTTCCAAGGACAATCAATAATTGGTCTTATTCTCTGATCAACTATTCAATAATCTTTACATACAGAATCAATAAATTTACACACTTATACACAGTTGTAATAATCCCCACTGACTTAAACAAGGGTCGACTGCACCCCTTAAAATGATCTTGGCTTGCAATAATCCTCACGTGGTCAACTGCACCACTTAATCATAAACGTGTATTCTCCACTTATATGAATAGCTAGTCTAATTACCCTCACACAGAAATAGTGAACCTCAACCCGGCTCAGTTCAGTGGGAGCAAACTTCAAGAGGACCTCAATTACCCTACAAATCCCTATAAATCTAAGATCACACAAGTATCTTACATAATTAACCTGGAGATACACTCCACTCAACTGTATTAGATAACGCGTACTTGACTTATATAAATGTTAACTAACCCGGAGCTACAACTCCCGAACCAGGCCGTACCAGAGCGTCACTGTCAGAGAGCTTCTACTCCAAACCGGGGGATTCGTCACTACCCCCCCAAGCTTGGCTTCTCGCAACTTGGCAACAGCACCAGAACGAGTTCCTACTGCATTGACACCAACTAACAAACTCCGCTAGATGATCTTAAGACCCCACGCTATAACATGCTAATCCACGCACAGCCTTCCCAATACGCGATGCTGATTGGTCAAATGCACGCCATGAATTATTAATGTCCTGATCACACAGCACAATTCATTTCTAATTGGTCCATGCGCACTTCAGCATTAGTAACACGCACCAAATGCCCAAGATCACGCACATAAAACAATGTCTGACTTAGACTCCTACACAAGTCTACATATACCTGTACCCTGTTTGCCACAGTATGTACCTCGACCGGGATGTGTTATAGATGAAGATTGAAGTGATGTCACGATGATGTCATCATGGGTCACGTGACGTTACGTTAAAATTAAAAGCAATCATGAGAGACCTGAATGTTTGCGGGAATTGATTTATAATTGATAATCCAGGATCTTTATGACCCTTCCTTCTGGTCAAAACCAGAAATGCCTTATAATTTGAAAGTGGAGAAA